ATAACAGCATAGCAGATTCGCTATCTAGTTTTGACTTTCAGCGTTTCAGACAACTTGATCCGGACGCAGAAAAAAATGGCTGTTCCAATTCCCTTACAACTACTGGACATCTTTTAGCGACATCTAAAGTTCTTGTTTCACATGGGATATATGAAAACACAAAGCTAGCATATAATTCGGCCTTACGCTCTTTTGCAGAGTTTTGTACCTGCTGAAACATGCAACAATACTTTCTTACTGACGAGCAGGTTCTTTTTCTCTATATAGCCTGGCTGTTTGAGAACGACATGCCATTCAAAACTGCCAATACCTATCTTGTGGGTCTATCATTTTTTCACAAGATTAATTATATGCCAGATCCAACAAAAACTTTTCACAAAATAGATTGTAAGATGATACTTAACATTGCATACCTATATTTTAACAACATATCTAAGCACAATCTTCTAAAATGAATATCATGTCTGTAATGCATTAATTTAAAAGTAAAATAATAACCATATTTCCTTGAAAGTCAATGTTAAAATATGACGATTTAATTTCAAGACATGCATTTTTTTTATTTATCTTTATTTTTTTTTAAATTTCCTAAAATTATTCTTAGTTCTTTAATTAAACTTCGTAAATATGATCTAAGAATAATTGATATTTCAGACTGATTATGATATGAAACAATAAAAATGTGTAGAAGCAAGCCTGGGACAAAATTTCGTTAATTGCAAGATGTGTAATGCCATTCTTTCGTGAATGCCCAATAAATTGAAACAATGTAAAATATTTTTATAACATGATATCATAGAGCGTGACAAAAGATGAAAAAACTGAAAAACCATCATTTGGTTGACGTGTCGTTTGAAGTGTATAATTTTAAGGGATGCGTGAGATATATTGTTTGAGCGACCATGGCCTAGTGGTTAAAGTAAATGACTTAAAACCAATTGCCTCGTGCTATAGTAGTTTCGAACCTCGCCCTTATACGATAGAATACAAAGTCCCTGGAAGTTAGCTGGCTTGTAAAATGTCGGTGGTTCTACTCATGTGCCCGCTCTTGCCTGAAATGATGCACGGCAGGGCAACTGAGGTCTTCCTTCACCAATAAAGCTGGAAAATTGCGATACGATTACTGTGGTGGTGCGACGTAAAACCAAATCAAAAAACTTTATTTTGTAAATATCGGTTATTAAATTTGTCGTCATGTAGTAAATTAATAATCTGTATCAACACATGAAATACTATAAGAATATTTCCGTACCTAACAACATTGTATAACTTGATACATGAAGTGTCATTGTTATATAAGAGGAACATTCTAAACATATAAATGTTCTTGTGATTTGAAATACTGTTGTTCGAAACAACAATTTCGAAACTCCCTAATAATAGACTAATAGTACCAGCCTTAGTTTAGAAATCTGCAGATCATTCATATATCAGGACTTCAAAGGTTCAAACTTCCTATCCCCCAAAGTTTATTGGTCAATATTAATGGCTTGTTATGTAGATTGCATTCATGACTATTACACTGCTGGAAATATCGGACAAACAAACGCCGTTTGTTATGCGGAAAACACTGCATTTTAGACAGAGAACATTGTGATAATTAGCAGAATTCATAACATCAATTTACTGTTTAAAAAGACATTATCAATACGGCAAAATCCTTTGAATATAAACACAATAATATTATCGTAATCTTTATTGACAAACAATACATCATTCTGCCATTATGCTTCAATCTATTTAATATGTTATAATTGTATACATTCATATTTCCATCTGTAGGCAGCTAAAACACAAGTATGTCAAACATGTAAACTAAAACTCATGCTAACAGTTCATAATATAATTTTTGTAATCTTATCTTTGAGTTCGAATTGAAGAATAAGTTGCATAAAGTACCCGAAACTTTACGTTATTCTTAAAGATGTCGAAAAGAAAAAATGAATCCTGATAACAATGAGATTAATAAATAAGTCACTCTTATACATTGAGTATATTAAATAAGTGTAGATTTTATACTAAATTCATTGAACGAGTTGAATAATATTCTATTATTCAACGAGTTCAATAAATTTAGTATTGAATCTGCACGAATATAATGTTCTATTTATCACATATATAAGGTAAGAACGGTAAACTGTCAAAAAGAGACATTTTGCATTGACACGTCTATACTGTAACGCTAATATTAGCACTTTAACGCCACGTCACGTCAAAGTTAAATGGCTTTATTATATTCCTGTGCCGCGATTTATGTGATAATTATAATATATACAATTTATGTAAAAATGAAATGTGAATAATTAAACAAAACAAAGTCCTGTAACTGTCAAATAGGAAAGAATGCTTATGAAGCACGTATTGTTAAGTTAAGTAAAGACCGAATAAAAGTGAATAACTGCCAATTTGATTTGCAGTTACAGGTATCGGATTATATTGACATAAAAACAATAGTATGTGAATACTCATCAATGTTAGGTTTCAGCAATAATATTCAATAAAACTTATACATGTACAATAATTGTATCATGATTTATGTGTCAGGGGAGACATTTACAAGAATGTAAGGGAAATCATTAACAACCTTTAGAGTTTCATTCATATTAAAACGTTGGCAGTTAAGTCCCTTTTGTGTGTACTAGTTTACAGCAGTTTTCTCTTTAAAATCAAGATTAACACGCTCCTACTAATGGCACACTACAAATTTAACAATTTGTGATTAAACAACAACAACAACAAAAGAACAACAAAAGAACAACAAAAATACCACCCTCCAATAAAAACCGCCCCCCCCCCCCCAAAAAAAAAAAAATATATATATATATATAAAAACACATAAAAACAAACAAAACAACAAAAACAGAAGAAAACAGAAACAAACGACAACACCCGCCCCTATATATATATATATATATATATATATATATATATATATAATATATATATATATATATATATATATATATATATATATATATATATATATATATATATATATATATATATATATATATATATATATATAAAACAAACATAAAATAAAAAAATCCATTTTCCGTTTTTTATATCGCAAACATCAGCTGGAAAGTTTTTTAAGGTATTGTTTTAGTAATTTCCCTATTGACTCATTGTACATACACCAGTCTTTCAGTCGATTATTATTGACATTTCCTACCATTTTTAAACTGAAGGTGTTGCAGGCTCGGTTTGACTGAGCCATTAGAACATGCATGATTTTTATATGAGGTAATACATAAACACACATTATCTCATGATTCAAGCGTTGACTGTCTCTGCTTTTTTGTTGACGGCCATTTCAAGCAAATATGGTTCATTTATTTTCGTCAATTTTGTTAAACATGCATGCTTCATAATGTAATGTAACTGTAACCCCGACTTACCATAAATTAAGCTGTGGAAATGAAATGTATACTGTATAAGTTATATATAGTTATGGAAAGACAAAATCATTTTCTACATATTAATAAAACTTTGTAAAAGTAATTTTGTTTATCTGCGACGAACGAGATTGTTCACGATATTTGAACAATCCTCAATTTATACAAAATTATATTCAAATTATGGACAAAATGTGATCCCTCGGAAGCATTAATCATAACAAAATCACATGAAAATTGCAGGTACATGAGGGGTAATAAAAAATTGTAATATCCATCACGCTTCCTAGTAACGGCTTGAGCGGTACTCAATTTTCAACAATTTAAGGTGTTTGAATCAATGGGCCCGAAGGACCAGAAAAATATAACAACACTGAAGTGAAGTACGGGGTAATTTTTTGGCTCGCTCATGTAACAATTTATAGAATTCATCAATTTACATTGTAAGATCGGTGAAATCATTTTAAAACTTATATATGATCATACACTTTTACTTGATAAACGAAAGAACGCAGACGCTCAAAAATTCAGTCTTTAATAACAAGCTTTCTTAATATGTTTGAAATCACCTAAACTGAAAAAAATGAAAGCTCAAAACTAACATGGCACGTCGCGTTTTACATTTACGAGTATACAGTTCATTTATAAAGTTTCACATCTGCACAAATCTATTGATGCGACTCCTCTTTATGTTTTAAATTGAAAAATCATCAATGATAAAAATATACATAAGATAATAAGATTAAATAAATAAGCCACACACATCCAACTAAATACAATTCAAACAATTCAAACAAGACAGTCCTAAGGACAACTATATACTCCGCCGCGAGTTTTAATTAGCAATACATCTGGCCATTATCGAATACAGTTGAATCACAATTGAATCCAGAATGTGTAAGTTTGAACTTTAAAGAACCAAAATACATGCAAATGAAAAATATGTTAAACCGATAGTTTCAACAATCCTGTGAGCTTAAAGTATGTCAAGTACAAGTACTAAACAGAAGAGTAAATCTGAACAGTCCTGTTTGTGAGATGACAAAGTTAACTTGAATGGTGCCATATTGCTAGAAGGGTGGTACATACAACGCAAACGAAAAGAAATAATAAAATCGCTGAGCTTAAATAAATCATTTTTTCCCTTTTTTGTTGAAAAGAAGCACATGTTGTTAAAATGGAAAAATGCAAATTATGGTGATCACCCATATATATTCAGTATATATTTAATTATCCTTTTCGTATCCTTCTATTTAAGTGATTCATGTTGACACATGTGAAAATTTCAAAGTTTATATTTAAGCCTTTTGACCCCAATGAAGTTCCTTTGAAATAATGGCAAACACAATGATAGGAGGTTACATTTCACACACTTTACTAACAAAACCATTAGACACCTATACACGGTGCTTTTACTAAGTGATAATTTGTTCTATGTGCGGGAGCAGAGAACTGAACACAACAACAACAACACCAGAAAAGAATCCCAACAAAAAACAACAAAAAAAAACAACAAAAAATAAAGAACTACCACCCCCCCCTCCAAAAAAAAAAAAAAAAAAAAAAAAAAACAACACAAACGAAGAACAACAAAAAAAAAAACGCAAATAAAAAAACCCCAGAATTCTTAAGCATAAAATTATGTAATTTACCAGAATAAGCATGTTTGTAATGTTAATCCAATTAAACTTTTGTATTGGTTTTCTGCTCCAAGCGAATTACAAAAATGTAACGTTGTATAGTAAAAGTGCTAACTTGTGTCTGTTATCTACCTGTTTTAACAAGCTTACTGATATTGTTTAAATGACATGTTTAATTTCAAACTAAGAAAGCAATTTTACAGAAATACGAGTTCTTTTGGAAACTTTTGTTAGAGTTTTGAATGCCAAGTAAACTTTGTTTCTGAGTAGGTTATAAAGTAATATGCCAAACACGATATATATAAAATTATGAATATCTAATTCATACCATGTGACAGTGTAGGAATTGACAAATAAATTTAAAATAATATCATTATACTAATCAATAGATTGTAACGTCAAAGTTATGTCCCTTTTCAAACTATTTTACATAGCTTGTACAAAACGTAGGTAACAAGCGATTGAGATGAAACACCATTATTAAAAACAACAACCTTTGTATAATATTTGACCATCACAATTTTAAGAAGCCTGATGCAAAATTGTAACAATTTTCAGACCAATATTGGAAAAATAGGTACCCAAACCCTTCAATGCCTTAATCGTTCATAGACATGATCTGATGGTAGTTCACTCAGGCTTGATTCAGTGGATGGTAGTTCACTTATATTAGATTCAGTAACATTGATGTACATTGGATCTCGTTTTATTGTCGATGTGGATGGATAGTTGCCCATTTCTGTTGAAGCCTTTGAACCTTTACAAAACAAAATAAAATTAGGGAAAATTACGAGAAAAAAACCCCAAACAAATATAGAGAACAAACAAAATATTCTGTGAATAATATTTTCTACTGATATAATTCAAGTAGGTACATATAAAGTCATTGCCATCAAGAGCTGTTGTATTCAACTTTCTAATATAATCATAACTTGTATCAAGAAAACAAAATGTCTTTATGTCAATTTTATTTTAAGAATAAAAATCTTTAACCTCAGCATAAAAACAGAATTTTCAGGATTTTGTTACTTGACTGCATATGACAATCTCTTGAGCAATATAGCGAAAAAGGAGGGACCGTTCGGAATTAGTTAATCATCATATGATATGAAAATTTCAGACTTTGTTTGAATAAGTTTGTTCGTGGGAGACATTGTAAAAAAGGGAATATCTCTCACGCCTCTAACGCCGGCTTAAAGCCCATCAATAATTCCGAAAAATATGAATAATATAACAATATAACACCACTCAGCATATTTTTAGCAGCATAACTATTTTACCTTTTGCTCCGTCCTGTTCCTTCGTAAATTTCCTTCGTTTTAATCTACAGTATAAAATAACGAATTTGTTATTAACATGTAGGAATATTATGATTATGAAATGTAACAAATAGATGCAACATTTTTCTGCTTTGAAATAACAATACAATGCTTTAACATTCTTGAATCATTTTGGTTAAATAATTTGCTTATCGTCATTTTATTGACGCAACATAACCACACATGTCTTTATGAATAAATTGATCAGACACAGTACGTGACACCTTTATAAACATGAACTGTTAAACGTCTAATCTAACAAATTCGTTTCATCTTTTTAAAAGTTCATATTTGCGTAAACTTATCAAATTTATATCGATATTGTTAGAGCATATAATTCGAATGAAAACATTATATCTTTACATAATATAACAATATGTCAGAGCGCAGCCCCCAGTTCTTCAGGCAATCTATTATGTTCAAGGAGAAAGAATATAACTATATTACATGTGTCTAATAGCACCATTTAATCCAAACGCAACAGCAATAATAGCAATGCAGATGACCGCAACGACAATAATTGTGACAGTTTGTGTCTCATCTTGTGCTAATTTGCCAGAATCTGAAATATTTAAATGATGTCATAAATGTTAGTGAAATTATTTCCCAAATATCAATAGAAGTAGTTATACTGAATCGGATAACAAAAAAAAAAGATGACTTACAAATTATACATTATACAGTGACAATATATGCAGGAGGATTAATGGCAAAAGAAAAAATAAGGTGATTAGCAATTTGAAAGAAAACATCATTATAAAGAAGAAACTGAGATTGTCCGAACCTGAAACACTAGGACATGACAATGTGCAAGTTCCGGTTTTGATGTTGCAACATGGACACTCATCCCTGCATAACTTTTGACAAAGTAATCCCCATCGACCTGGTGGACATGCACTGCAATAACCAGTGGCTCTGTCGCATTGAAGACATTTATCAGAGTTACATGTAGACTGACAGTTTTCACCCCAAAATCCATGTTGACAAATAGTACATAATCCATTCGTTATAGAGCATTGTTCACATCTTGAGCTGTTGCACATGTTAGAACAATCCTGACCCCAATATCTGTTTCCACAAATTAAGCAATGTCCAGTTTGTCTGTGACAACCCCAAGAACAAGACGCGCTGCATTTATTTTCACAAAACTTTCCCCATCTATTTAAATTACAATTCTTACATTCGCCGGACACAGTATCACATTCAGAAGAGGAACACGACTGATTACATTCATTTACGCATGATGGTCCCCACAATCCAGGATTGCATGCAATGCATATACCAGATTCCTTACTACAGCTTGAACAATTTTGGCTGCATGCCTTGTTACAAATGTCACCCCAATATCTGCTTTTGCAAGAACTGCAATATCCATCACCTTTTCTACACGTTGTATATGAGCAACCTTGACCGCAATTATTCTGGCAAAATTCGCCCCAAAGTCCATTTGTGCAACTGCTACATTGTCCGTTTAATCTAATACAGCTTGAAGAGGAACAATTGTACATGCATTTATTGTCACAATTAGCACCCCAGAGACCGGAAGTGCAGCTGCTACAATTTCCACTGCTTTTATCACAGCTTGATGAGCAACTTTTGCTGCATATCTTGTCACAATTAGCTCCCCAGAGACCGGAAGTGCAGCTGCTACAATTTCCATCGCTTTTTTTACAACTTGATAAACAGTTTTGACTGCATTTATGTTCACAAAAGTCACCCCAGTATCCAGATTTACATGCATAACACCTATAATTTATACTACATGAGTACGAGCTGCAATTATAAACACTACATTGTATAGTGCAGTAATGACCAGCATATCCAGATGGACATGATGTGCATCGTCCATCAATTTTACTGCACTTATCTGACTTACACTTTCCACAATTTTTCTGACAGTTTTCTCCCCAAAAACCCGATTTACACGTCTGACATTCTCCTGATGTGATACTACAAATATCACAATTCGACGCAGAACATCTTTTGTCACAAGAAATATTCCAGTATCCGTTTTTACATGTCTCACACCCACCTGCTAATTTGTCACATATTTTGCAGTTTGGAGCGCATGTGAAGTTACAGAATTCTCCCCACCTTCCAATATGACATATTGTGCATTCGCCAGTCGTTTTATGACAGTTCCTGCAATTTATATTACACGCATTGTTGCACGTTGTTCCATACCAACCATCAGGACATGAGTAACAACTTCCGTCATATTTACGGCATGAAGAAGAGCTACAGTTTTCTGGACAATTTCTATTACAGTAGTCACCCCAAAAGCCGGTTCTACAAGAACCGCATACACCAGTTGCCTCATCACACGAATTGCAATTTACCTCACACACTTCCTTACAGTCAGTTCCCCAGTAACCTCTGGGACATGCGCTGTCGGCATATTTAACTAAACGAAATCAAATATTCAGTTTGATCAGACCAATACCAATACATTTTTAATGCTTGTTAAAAGAACAAATAATTTTAATTAAATTAACAGAATGATAACTTGATTCAAAATTGATAAAGAAATTTAAGAACATCATACGAATCTTTAAATGTTTTATATGCTACAAAAATTCATTGTCGTGTTTAATGCGAATACATTTTTTGATGATTGGTCCAAGATAATAATCATCAACACTTTATTTTTATTTGTTTGGGTCGTCAGACCAAACAAATAATGGTAGTGAAATTTCAGACTCTAATGCTGTTAATTGCAATTGCCGAAAGTAGTCCGCTTTTTTGAAGCGGTTACTTCCCTTTATATACACACTTACGCTGAAAATTCCGGGGAGATCACTGCGTTAAGATGGTCAAATGACAGGCGCATTAATTTTCAAGCAAAATAATTCCCGAATGGCCGAAGATTTCTAATATTGTTTTATTCTTTATAGATAAGCATGCTTAAAGTAAGCTCCATGATTACTTACATCTGTGTTAAACAACAGTTAGCGTCGTTACAATCCCTAATTTAGAATAATATGGTTTTCCTTAGGCTGTGAACATACATGTATAAATTCACCGTGGCCGAGGGATTTGCGCGCTCGCTTAGGAAGCGAGAGGTTTGGAGTTCAAATCCCAGTTAAGGCAACCCATTTTTTTTCAAATTGTTTATGTCAAATAAACATTGGATTGAAAACCAGGGTTGCAATTAGTCTTATAGCCAATTTACTACAATTAAAACGCTGGAAAGCATTGGTGACAATATACAAAAACAAATTGGTCTATAATCTCACAACCTTCACCTTTCTGACATTCTGAGACCCAAACAAATTCAGAGCTTTTTGTGCTTTGATTTATCAAGATGGCAAACAAAAGGAAATAAGTATATCAAATAAACATATTCATTAGTAACGGTTCCCGCACAGCTTATATTTCGTAAATTGAGAAATAACTTCAATTTGTACATAAACAATGAGAAATTATTTATTTTAGTGTTAACGTAAATTATATTTCTGCACAATAATGTATCATACTTGAATGACTTTAATCTCTTTTAGGGATATCAATAAAGTAACCTTTCGGCCAAAAATGACAAATAAAATAATTTTAATGAGTGTCCAAACAACCCTTACTTCATTTAAATAATAAATAATGATGCCCTATTTCAATGACTCCCACCTTAGTTCTAAGCTAGAGCTATTAGTCAACAATGCGTAAAAGATATGGTTTCAATACACAAATCGGGCAATAGATACTATAAATTCTTAAAATAAAAAAACTGGAAGAATAATTCGTCCTCGGAGCATTATATTTGATTACAACACAATTACTCGGTTTGACTGAGTCTGTACATGAGGCATAATGAAAAAGTGCAACGTCCCTCACGACCCCAGTGTTGGCTTTGGCATTATAAAATTTTCAACACTTAAAAGTGCTAAAATCAATTATCCCGAGGGACCAGAAAAACATAACACTGAATTGAAGAAAAGCTTCCACACGGCATTTGACATCTTCTGTATGAAATCTGGAAAAAGATTGATCCTTCGGAAGTATTCAGCACAACAAAATGACATGAAAATTGCCAAATTTCAATCAAGGTACAGAACGCATTAATTAAGGTGGTGACATAATAACCAGTCGTGTGAAACACAAAGGGGTAGGTAGAAAAAGGGCACACAATGTGATTAAAGGGACTCCACTGAGGTTTAAAAGCCTTAAAACATAACATATGAATTTCTTACATAAATGAGCTGGGGCACTTTAACCAGAAATATATGCAAAGATAGTTAAGAAATATACTTTGAAATAAATTGAAAATCGTGTTTTTATGCTTTTCTCAGCCCGATTTGAGTGAAAAGCGTTTTAACGCTGTTCATTTTGGGTCATTTTTTACAGTTTGAATAGTTATTTTGCTCGAATAATCTGAAATTTTGCACAAAGATTAGTGGTCTAAACCTACATCAAATAGTACATTTATCTGGAAAAAATATTTTTAGTCCAATAATGTCAAAAATCCTCTGTGGAGTCCTTTTAAATTATAATTTCCAGAAAATATATTTTTGGCATTATTTTGTATTTAAAGAATATATATACTTTAAATTATTACAAATTTTGTATCCATTGTCCTGTCTACTATGTTTTGAATCCCACCTGGGCTATGAGTGATTTCATGTGAGATAGCTTATTAGTTTTATATGCTTAAATAGTATTCGCTGATCTACTCAGGTACGATTTTTTACATTAAATAATGCACGGAGCTACATTTTATCTATTCATTATCAACTAATAAATCGGGACACGCCACGTGGCTTTTATATTCTAGGGGGGGCATACAATCAAACAAAAGATAATTTATCATTTCAATTTTATCAACTTGTTGAACATCTACAAGTACATGAATTAAACCACAGCGATGCTACTACGTACATCTCCATTAGTGATAGGCGACACGATTATTTTTCATTTACTATACTCATGCAACAAACCTTATAAATAATTCAATAAAAACAAAATTATTGCTACATTCACTTTATGATAAAGTATCAACATAATTACACTTAAACTCACCGCAAATGTTAAAAGCCAAAAATATTAACACAATCATACTGGACTTGCATATTCGTCGTTGCGTCTGTCACTGCCCAAATTACTTCCTACTTCTGTATGAAATTTCACGCCTCAGGTTTATGACTTCCGCGTTGTTTAATATTCTTTTTTTTTGAAATCATCAAAAATGATATGAATTGATATAAGAAAAAACGAAACAAATGGATATTAGATGAAACATTGTACAAAGGTCAAGTAGATTTTCAAAAATATATTTTGATATGATTGGATTGTCTTCTTATTATCGAAAATAACATGACATACAGGAATACAATTACAAATTCAATATTCTTAAACGTTCATAAATCTCTAAATAATCGCCGATATATGTGTTTATATATTTATTTTCCAACAATTGACGTAACGCCGCCTGTCGAGCTGGCAGGGGTCTTACAGAAAGGCCACTTGGCGATTGATTTCAGTTTCATGCTAAGATGTCTGCAAAGTCCGCCATTTTCCTAAACAAGCTATTTGTATAAAACAATGGTGCAGCAGTATCTATATTGAAATTATTTTGATTTTTTTGTCAATTTAAAGCTATTAAATCGGTATATCTAAGTTACCAAATATCCTGACATATTGGCAAATGGAGTCAGTAAGTTCATTTTACAAAAATAAAAATATATATAAAAAAAATATCAGTAACTTTGTTTACTAAGTATATGAAGAAAATAAGTTATTTAGCAGGTACGAAAGTTAAAACTGGCTAAACCACAATGCATTAAACAAGGAAAAGGGTTCAACAAATACACTATTCCTTCCTTTATTACAATTATGTCCATTCATAATTTCATAATATATTATAAGGTTCCAGAATATCCAGGTGATATGACATTTTTGTTCGTTTTAGGTGAAATTATTATACCTAAATATTTCTATAAAAGCTCAATGAATTAAGAATACATATTTAAATACATTTGCTTCAATAACATCATATCTGATCATGGTTGTAATTTAAAGCCAAGGTCTCACCGTCTGGTGTATGCGAAACTTATTTTGAAATGAATAATATTGCGTTTTATCACGAAACATATCTAATGTACACATTTACATATAGTGATATATTATACTTCAAAGTTACGCACAATTTTCTCATTCAATTTTAACAATTTATGCACGAATGCATTATATAAAAAATAAGTTATTTCCAACATAAAACCCTAAAAACATTTGTAAAAGTTACTGTGTTATTGATATAATTTTACTATTTATATGTTCCGCTACTTCAATTTTAACTATCTTTGAATTTGTAAACTTAAATGATATTTTGTTAGTAACATCTTCCTTGAAGTCAACGAGAAATATAACAAGGATCTTAGCCAAACGTTTTATTCATCATTAATGCATGAATGCAGTTATTTGTTACCTTTTTAAAAAAAAACATGATACATTGAACTATTCAAGAAAAGCATTTAATTAAAAATTAATATATATATTAACCAAATTTTATACGGTAAATTCATTAGCAACTTCAGTATAACTTCAAAAATTTCCCATTTACGTCGGTACCGTGTTTTGTCTAAGGTTCTGAATGACCGGGTCACGTGAATCAGTAGGCGGAGCAATCTCTTCTCTGGCGTAATGTCAATTGTGCGACTTGAACTATAGATGATCTTCCATGGATACACATACTTGATAAAAAATCAAAAACAATAAAAACAAAAAGTGACTCAATCTTCCCTATATTAGGAAAACAATTAAAATATATTTTGTATCGTAGTAAATACTGCGATAGCAGCGGGATATAAACGACATTCCACCCACGCCCAAACACATATATGCTAATTATGAATGCTATCTTCATGAACAAACTTCGAATATTGTACAAATTTTTTCCTTCTTATAACATTTGGTTACTTTAACTGATTTGAAGTGCAGTTTAATTCAGTGTTATTGTTTTTAAAATAAATAACATACATGGTTTAATGATTAAATCTTTAAATGTTTTGCTTTCATAGCAAGGTTACACTTTACTTTAAACTTTACATGAAGTTTAAAGCAAACATAAAAGAAATCACTGGATTGTATTAGGATGTAACATCAAGCATCTAGATGTCATTATATGTTAAAAATTAGACGTTCCTTAATACATTTTTTTCCCAGTGATTGAGCTTATTATATACCGATATTTAATTCTTTTAAAACAATAATAATAATCTCGGAGTAATTTTAATTATATAAATTCTGCCTTGTGTCCTGGTCTGCTTTGGTTTCGGGTTCTCCTGGGCTCCTTACCAGCGTTTCTTGTTGCTGTGTCATGTGGGGGTAGCGTTCAATGAACGCCGCCTTTCCTTGCTGATCATATTTTGACTTACATTAATGACACATATAATTGTGAATCAACATCATGAAAAATCAACGATTTCTGTCAAAAGGCTTTCCTTAATGAATTTTATTGCTTTTAGGAATTGCTGGAGACTACACTTAATTTATTCTATCTTAAAGTGATAATGTAAAACCTACATGTATATATACAAGTTTGCTGCAGTGTCATCAATAAAGGACTGAAGTTGTATTATAATTCGCTACAAAAGGTCTAAAAGAAGCCCAAGATATATGAGAATGACGATTAGTCACATTTCAGACTTATGCAACGTGCTTTGTACATAAGGCTATTACATGTATCATCAAATTCAGTCTGTTAAGTTGGTCTATTTGAATGCTTTTAATTAAAAATGGAAACTACCATTTCTGTCTTGTTTGACAAACAAGAGTACATATTTTATATTAACGATAGTTCGTAAATTAAGTAATTTTTCATTACAGGTCATATTACTCCGAAACAAGACAGATGATTTTGATTAAACTCGGGTTGTCATAAACCCCAAAGCAAGAAAAAATGAACAATCAAAAATCTACATAACATTCTGATGATTAATTTGTTGAACTGATTTTTACCTCTACCGGCTTCACAATGTCATTAATGTGAGACTGATTTTGATATGAAACAATAAATATATATAGAAGCAAGCCTTGAACAAATTTCGTAAAATTCAAGAAGTTTTATGTCATTCGTGAATGACCAATAAATTGAAACAATGTAAAATAATTTCATAACAAAATATCATTAAGCGTGAAAAAAAATGAAAAAACTGAAAAACCATCATTTGGTATACGTATCACTTGAAGCGTATAATTTTAAGGTACGTGAGTTATTTTGTGTGGGCAACCGTGGCCTAGTTGTTAAGGACCTTGTCTTTCAACCACTTTTCTCTCGCTATTGTGGACTCGGTTCAACGTCAGGGACTTGGAATTATTTCTTTTGAGGAAACTATCCATATAGCTTGAACAACGATAGTTCTAGAACAATCAGGTTGGCAACTCGTGCCTGAAATAATGCACGGAGGGGCATCCGATTTGATTTGATTTTGATTTAATCATATTTTATTGCTTGAAACATGTACATGTAACATAGAGATTACATTAATACAAAACAGAATACAATAAATACGAATAAGGAAACATGTATGTTAACAGTTTGAAGCAAATGGGTTGGGCCACAAGTTTTACCAACATTAATGAAGGCCCTTCCCAGGCAAGTTTAAATAACAAAATGTTCATTAGAAAGATACAAAACTTGTTTACGTAATTAATGTGTTAGGCGAAGAAACAAGAAAATATATGTTTTTTTGCGCATCATCAGAGCAATATTTACTGTTTGCTTCTATATATATCTATATTGATTTAAAAGTATTTAGATGACAATATCATGAGAAAAAAAAACAACAACAACAAAAAAAATTGATATGAGGTTTAAATATCATGAAATAGAAAAAAAAATACACATTCTAAAAACATTCAAACTTCTGTTCACCTTTCCTCTGAAGAAAAAAAAAACAAAAAAAAAAACAAAAAAAACAAAAAAAAACAGGTTTCGCCTCCATTTCCGTTACTGGACCAGCATTAAATATAGAAACACGGAGTTATATTTAATTATCATTAAGATATATTAAGTTCTAAAACGATTCGTATTCTTTATATATTTTTGAACATGCCCAAAGATAATGTCATTATCGTCAGGCGACAAGTTATCAATTCCAAACAGCAGTTTCTTTACACTTAAAGGATGATATGGGCGGGTATTAATGAATAATTGATGGCGCTGTTGATGAAATAACGGACATTTGAAAAAATAGTGTCCTGCATCCTCTATGATATATCCACAGTCACATTTTTGATTATCACGTAAGTGGTTGTAAAATAAGTCGGAGTTTAGGTTACTACATTTATTACGTATTCTTGCATGATGGACCTGTGAAAATCTTTCACCAGAAATGAAGAATGGGGGAACTATTGGGGGTTTAAATTTTTCTTTTAGATTACGTTTAAAAGCTGATAAGGAGTCTACAGTACGAGAATGAGTGTCCAAATTGTTCCAAAGTTTGATAGATGAAGGTATTGTAGATTTAGCATAGATTTCAAGCCGGCGTGCCATAGTAGCATAGTCAGAATTGTTTCTCAAATTGTATGTATTTGCTTCTAAAACGGTATTTGGAAAAAGTTCAGACAGATAACAGGGTAATTCTCCACGGCTATATTTATATACCAAAATTAATTTCTGCATGTTGGTATATAAATATAGCCGTGGAGAATCCGAGGATTTCCTTCACCAATGAAGCTGGGAAGTGGCGATATGACTTCTGTGTTTGTGCGACGTAAAAACCAAATCAACAAGAGCATCGCTAGGCGGAGCATTATATGCCCGAAAGTGGGTTTTTTTAGTAAGGATGAATCATTTGTAAGACATAAATATTAAATAAAGTATTACCTCCTTCAAATAGCGATCCTCCTATGGACAATCATCCTATTGAGTTTGAACGCTGTGGGCCAAATGGAACTTAAGGTATGTTCCAGAAACTGTTTTCAGTTTTAAGGTAACCTTAACCTTTGACTTTAAGACCCCAAAATCAAAAGGGGGCTTCTACCCAATATGGACAATCATGCAATGAAGTTTGAACATTGTGGGCCAAATGGAGCTTAAGTTATCCTCAGGAAACTGTTTTCAGTTTCAGGTAACATTGACCTTGACCTTTGACCTTGTAACCCCAAAATCAATAGGGGTCTTCTACCCAATATAGACAATCATTTTATGAAGTTTGAATATTGTGGGCCAAATGGAACTTTTGTTATGCTCCAGAAAATGTTTTCAGTTTTAAAGTAATAATGACCTTGACCTTTGACCTTTTGACCCTAAAATCAATATAGGTCTTCTACCCAATGTGGACAATCATACTATGAAGTTTGAAAATTGTGGGCCAAATGGAACTTAAGTTATGCTCCTGAAACTGTTTGACCTTTGACCTTATGACCCCAAAATCAATAGAAATCTTCTACCTAATCAATCATCCTACAAAGTTTGAGCACTCTGGGCCAAATGGAACTTAAGGTATGCTCAGGAAACTGTTTCAGTTTTAAGATCATAGTGACCTTGACCTTTTACCTTGTGACCCCAAAATCAAAAGGCGGCTTCTACCCAATATGGACATTCATACTATGAAGTTTGAACACTGTGGGCCAAATGGAGCTAAAGTTATTATCCGGAAACTGTTTTCAGATTCAGGTAATAATATCTTGACCTTGTGACCCTAAAATCAATAGGAGCCCTTTACCCAATATGGACAATCATTCTATGAAAGTTGAAAATTGTGGGCGAAATGAAACTGAAGATATGCTCCGGAAAACTGTTTTCAATCAGAAAATTGTGGGCGAAATGGAACTTAAGTACCGCTCAAGTCGGTGTTAGGAGGCATGAGGGATGTTGCAAGTATTCATTATCCCTCATGTACAGACTCAATCTAACCGAGTCTGCAATTCTCTTGTAATTTTGTTGTGATTAATGCTTCCGAGGGATCACTTTGTTACCAGAATTTCTAAGTTTTGCTGCAGAAACTGTTTTCAGTTTTCAAATAATAATGACCTTGACCTTTGATCTTGTGACTCCAAAATCAACAGGGGTCTTCTACCCAATATGGACAATCATCCTGTAAAGTTTGAACACTGTGGGCCAAATGTAATTTACGTTATGCTCTGGAAACTGTTTTCAGTTTTCAGGTTAAGGTGACCTTGACCTTTGACCTTGTGACCTCAAAATCAATAGGGGTCTTTTACCCAATATGGAAAGTCATCTTATGATGTTTGAATATTGTGGGCCAAATGTAACTTAAGTTATGCTCCGGAAACCAAATTGCTAACGGACGCACAGACAGACAAACAGACAGACAGATGGATGGACAGACGCCAGGGAGTATCACATAATATGCCCGAAATTTTTTCGGGCATATTAAAAAATGGTTATTTTGTGAGTATCTGTTAAAAAAATTGTTGTCATGCGATAAATTAATAATCTGTATCAACACAAACATACTATAAAGAATATGTCCGTATCTAACAACATTGTATAGCTTGTCACGTGAGGTAATATTGTTATATATGAGGAACATTCTAAACATATCAATGTTCTTGTGAAATGAAATACTGTTGTCCGAAAAAAATTTCCAAACTCTCGAAAAGTAGACTAACAGTACCAATGTAAGTTAAGAAATCTGCAGGCCGTTCATACATCAGAACTTCAGAAAGTTCAAATTTCCTATCCACCAACGTTAATTGATCAATATTAATGGATCGTTATATAGATTGCAATCATAATGGTTCTACACTGCCAAACAAACGGCGTTTGTTATTCAGAAAACCTGCATTTTAAACAGAGAAAATAACTTTGCGATAATTAACAGAATTCATAATATCAATTTACCATTTAAAAAGCCATTATAAATACAGCGAAATCCTTTGAATATAAACACTATAATATTAACGTACTACTTTATTGACAAACGAATAAACACAAACAATATATACCATTCTGTCATTATGCTTCAATCTATTGTTATGTTATGTTTGCATACATTCTCATTAGTAAAAAGTCTAAATAACATCTATGTCAAACATGTTAACTAAAACACAAGAATGCCAAACATGTTAACAGTCCATAACATTTTTTTTTATCGTATCTGTAAATTCAAATTGCAGAATAAGTTGCATGAAGTACACTAAACTTTACGTTATCCTTAAAGATGTCGAAATAAAAAATTGTTATCTGATTACAACAAGATTAATAAATGATTTTACGTCATTATATTATAATATAATATAAAATGAAATGTTATTCATTAAACAAAACAAAGTACTGAAAATTGTTAAAACAGGGGAGAGTGCTCATGAAGCACATATTGTTACGTAAATAAAGCATACAATAATAAAATTGAATTTAAATCAATAACTGTCAATTTGATATGCAGTAACAGGTATAAAATAAACTTACATAAGAACCAAAACATGTCAGTACTCATCAATGTAATGTTCCAGCAACAATGCTTCATAAATCTTATATATTATTGTATCATTTGTTCTATGCGCTATGGCAGACATTTACAAGAAAGTAAGGGGAAGCATTAAAAAATCTTAAAAGTTTCATTCATATTATAACTTAAACACTTATGCCCCTTTGCAATTACTAGTTCACAGCAGTTCTCTCACTAAAATCCAGATGTACACTCTGCTCCTGATGAAATTTTACAGATGTTTACAGATGTTACAATTTGTGTAAGACTGGTGTATATCAATATGTTACTTACTAGAATCAGCAGTCTTTACAGTTACCTCCTTAATCTTAATGAAATTAATGAATAATTAAAGTTGTAAACAAAAGAAAATGTCAACTGTACCCATTTTTGTATTGTTTACTGATCAACGCAGACAAAACAACACAATATATCACGTGGTAAAGGCACTGCAATTTAGTAATAGTGCCAACATACTCACTTACACGCTTATTGAGATTATTTAAATTGCATCTTTATTGTCCATCTTAAGAAAGAAATTGTGCAGTACTACAAATTCATTGGAAGATTGATTTTGTCAGGATGTAATGCCCAGGAGTACCGGCTTTGTCTCAATTTCTTACAGCCGTTTCAGCTGTGCCGGCTATCAACAATCGAAGTTTTGCATATCAAGAAATAATATGTCAAAGGCGCTTTATATAAAATTATGAATATCTTATTATACTAAGTAATATACAAGTAATAGAAATTAACAAAAAAATTTAACGGGAAATTATTATTACTGTTATCTAAAAGGTATGTTCCTTCTTAAACTGTTTTCAACATTGCTTGTACAAGATTTTGAGAAGCCTTTTGAAAAATTGAAAAAAATATGTGACTAACAGTAACAAAGAAGTCACTCGAATCATTCGACGCCGCTTGCAAACGGTGTCTAGTAGATATGCATTTGTCCATACGGAAATGGGGAAAAATTTAGACTTAATTTTGTGTATTGTTTTTGTTTTTAACCAATATAACACTGTTTTAAAATTTTCTAATAAAAATAATTTTTCTGATGTACAACATGTCACAGAGCTTTAAGGGAAAAGAATAAACGTTTTACTGACGTGATAGTGCCATGTCTGAATATCATACTCTTTTTACCATTATCTAATTTTATCTAGATAATGAATAACGTGGCATTGAGCAAGTCTATAGTCGATCGTTCTAAAACGTAAACGTTGAAAGAGGTAAAGACTGAGGCAGTGTCACTTACTTCATTTGCTCCGCCTCTGTTGAAGTTCGGCTCCGCCTTAAATTGTCGCCAAATTTAATATGATGCTCCGTATGCTAGCATTTAGTCTTCGTTGACGGAATGGACAACTTTGATCAATATCACTTGTTGAATCATTAAATTACAAGTTACAAAGCCTAAACCACGCCCGTTATCAGAAAAGCGGTTCTCCCTCAACCGTTAAGAAAGTAAGTCAAACTATGCGCACCGGTTAACTACGCCCAGTAAGGAGAGATCACTTAAGAACAGTCCGTCCTCAAAATCATTCGAACATTATGCAATTCGTACCCATATTTTAATGGGTATATTCTAGGCACATATTGTCTTGAATTTATTTTAAGTATTTAATCATTTAAATTTTACGTGCTATGATATCCAATTTATTTTGCTGCGACCAGACGTTTCAATCTTTGTCGCAACAGAAAGACATGTAAGAATTTCAGACATCGCATAACTTTGTGAATTTATGCATTAGGTTCTACTTTTTTACAAAAATATGCAACTTTATAATTAAACAACGAGCACATACCAAAAACATGGAGAAAAAATTGATTTGTGCTTCGGATATTCAACTGTAATAGAAACCGATTTTCAATGCTGATTGACTGTTCACATCATTTGGCGGCGTCTTTGATGTGCAGTATCAACATTTTACTTGTTCAATGTCTGAGGCGTTCATAGACATGACCTGATGAACGTTCACCTATGTTTGATTCAGTCGAGGGTAGTTCACTTAGATTAGATTTAGTGGCATTCATGTACATTGGATCTCGTGTTCTTGTCGATGTGGATGGATAGTTGGCCATTTCCGTGGACGCCTTTGGACCTTTAACAACAAAATAAAGTGAGAAAAAAACAAACAAACAAACATACAATCAAAAATTAAGATCAAAGTATAAATAAACACTACTTAACAGTATATAGAGAACAAACAGAATATTTTGTCAATTATATTTTCCACTGATATAATTCAAGTAGGTACATATAAAGTCATTGCCACCGAGAGCTGTTTATTTAACTTCCTAATATAAAAGTAACTTGTATCAAGAAAACAAAATGTCTTTATGTCAATTTTATTTTAGAAATAAACAATCTTTTACCTCAAAATAATTTTTTATCAGGATTCTGCTATTTTATGGCATATGACGATATCTTGATAAATATAAGGAAAAAGGATGGACCGTTCGGAAGCAGTTAATCAACTTTATTATATGAAAATTGCAGACTTGGTTTAAAGAAGTCTTTCGTGAGAAATATTGTAAAAAAGGGAAGAATATTACGGCCCTAGTACCGGCTTAAAGCGGTATATAATTTTCAATGCTAACGTGCTTGAATAAATAATGCCGATGATAAGAATAATTTGACTACACTGAACACCTTTTAGCAGCATAACCATTTTTACTTTTTGCTCCGTTCTGTTCCTTTCTATATTTCCGTCGTCTTAATCTATAGTATAAAATAATGAATTCATTATCAGCACGAAGGACTAAATTCGCAATTATGAAATGTAACAAAATAATGCAACAATTTTCTGCTTTGAGATAACTATACAATGCTTTAACATTCTTGATTAATTTTGCTTATCGTTATTTTATTGACGTAACGTAACGACAATTGACCTCATGGTTAAAGTTATGTAATAAAAAACGTAAGTCGGCTGAAAATAAAAAGTTGATAGAAATCGGCAAATTAAAAAATGCACAGCCTAAACAATTTTGGAAATATTTTAAACGTAATAACAAAAATAAACATAACATTTCTACGGACGATTTCAAACGTTATTTTTCGGAGTTGGCCAATGATATTACGCAATGCACAAACCCGGAAGCTGAAGAGTTTTGTAGCGGATATGACTTTAATAGTTCAAATGCCGATTTCGATCAATTAAATCAGCGCATTACTGTTGCAGAAATTTTAGAATGTGTAAAATGTTTAAAAAGAGAAAAGGCTATGGGTAGTGATTATATTATGAATGAATACCTTATAGAAAGCATTGATATTTTATCTTCACATGTTTGTGATATTTTTAATGCCATCTTAGATTCTGGTTATTTTCCGAAAAAATGGACCGAAGGAGTTATCGTCCCTTTACATAAAAAGGGCGACATTAATGACGTGAATAACTACAGAGGTATTACGCTCGTTAGTTGTTTTCCGAAATTATTCACCACTATTTTGAATAAAAGAATTGTTACATTTTGTGAGTATTTAAATGAAAATAAGAGATTATATTGTGTATTTGTTGATATGAAAAAATGTTTTGATACTATATACAGAAGTGCACTATGGTTAAAGCTCTATAATAATGGAATTCAGGGTAAATTGTTAAGAATAGTGAGGGACATGTATCAAAAGGTTAAGTCATGTGTTAGAAATTGTAATATCTATTCGGAATATTTTGAGTATGCTGTAGGATTGAAACAAGGGGAGATAATGTCACCGATTTTGTTCTCACTTTTCGTAGAAGATTTGGAGCTTTTTTTGCAAGATGATGTAGATTCTGGTTTAGTCATTGATGATATTGTATTAATTTTGTTATTATTTGCAGATGATATGGTAATTTTAGGAAAGTCAAAGGAGGAATTGCAGAAACATTTAAACCTATTGTATGATTATTGTAGTAAATGGGGATTAGAAGTTAATACTGAAAAAACTAAAATTATGGTATTTAGAAAAAGAGGGGGTTTATTGTTAAATGAAAATTGGCCTTATAATGGGAAAGAACTAGAGGTAGTGAACGATTTTAACTATTTAGGAACTGTTTTTCATTATACTGGAAATTTTACGTTAAATCAGGAATATCTCACTGGAAAGGCTCTTAAAGCATTGAATTTATTAATGATTAATTGTAAAAAGATTAAGTTAAGGCCTAAAGTTTTATGTCAATTATTCGATGCATTTGTTGGTTCGATATTAAACTACGCAGCAGAAATTTGGGGTTATACAAAGTCAAAAGTTATTGAACGAATCCATCTGAAATTTTGCAAACATTTATTAAAGGTTAGAAATAGTACTTGTTCTGTTGGTGTGTACGGTGAATTGGGCAGATACCCATTGTATATTAAGCGTTATGTAGCCATGATAAAATATTGGTTAAGATTAATAAATAGTGACAATATTATATTAAATCGTGTTTATGTAATATCATTGGAACATTGTAACAAAGGTTTTAAAACTGGGTGACCAATGTTAAAGCTCTATTATGTGACTTCGGATTTACATATGTTTGGGACAATCCATGCGCTATTGATAAAAATTTTGTATATATATTTAAGGAGAGAGTTATAGATTGTTTTTTACAAGGATGGAATGTAAATAAGGAAAGTAGCGAAGTGTTAGATTTGTATAAAAACTTTAAAATTGTTTTTGGATACGAAGCATATTTAGATATTTTACCTAGTTCATTAAGATGTTACATCACTAGATTAAGAATTTCAGCGCATGCTCTAAGAATTCAAACTGGAAGGTTTGCCAGAAATAGAATACCTAGAAACGAAAGATATTGTCAATGTTGCCATTCACTAGATTTAGAAGATGAATACCACTTTGTTATTATATGCCCTATCTATTCAGATTTACGTAAAAAAATTATAGCAAAATATTATTATATCAAACCAAGTGTATATAAGTTTTTAGAATTGTTACAAACAGAAAATAAGACTAATCTTTATAAATTAGGGTTATACTGTAAAAACGCAATGTCTATAAGAAATTCGATTATTAATATTACGAATTAGTGAAAAATTGTCTTGAAATATTGAACGTGCTATTTATTATATGCCTGTTAGTGTTTATATGGTTGCTTTGGTCAACCAGACTGTGTTAGTTTGTATATATGTATGTTTATAGTTTGATGTTGTAAATAAGATGTTATTTATTATAAGCTTAATAGTGTTTATATGGATGTTTCTGGTCAACCGTACAGTTCTAATTTAATAGACTGATGATGAGTTATATTTAGTTATGAAAATATATTATAAGTAAGCCAAACATTGTTGAAAAGATAGCAAACATTATATGGATGTTTCTGGTCAACTGTACAGTTCTAATTAAATAGATTATTAGTTATATGTCTTATGACTGTGCACAGTTAAGACATGTATTAAGTAGATTATTTTGTCTTATGACCCAAGTTAGTCGTAAGGCTTTTTCTTAAATTACAACTTTGCAATCGAAATATTTTTTGGAATAGCCAATTGTTAACCTTCCCTTTCGTTTCGTTTAAGGTTAACTGTAGTTTTGGAGTACTATTCCCTTTCAATATAGTATATAGTGTGATACTATAGTTGGTAATTCACTTGTATCTGGTGTTGATTACGTATATATAAATAACTTTATTGCAAGTGGCACAATAATGTATGTGAAATTCACGCTATCTTTGTCAACATGTTCGTAACATTATTTAATCTATGTAATATATGTTAAACTGATTATGTCAAATCCTATACTGAAGGAAACAAAATAGATTAAACTGTTCACCTTCAAGAAATTTGCAGACTATCCATTGATTTTGTGATTGTATATATGTATGTTTGAATGAATGTATTAATGTAATTGACTATGTACTTTGTATACGTCAAAATAAACTTTCTGTTCTGTTCTGTTCTGTTAAATATTTATCGGGCATTTTACGTGACATCATTATACAAATCTAATGATAAAAGTCTAAACTTCAAAAGTCGCTTCATATTCTAAAAGTTCATTGCGTAGTATAATGTTATATCTACATAGGAAGAGCATTTTATGCAAGCGGAAACAAAATGTCTTAGTCTACATAATATAACGATATTTCAGAGTGCGATGCGCCCAATTCTTCAAGCAATCTATTAAGTTTAAGGAGGAAGAAAAAAACTTAATTACATGTGTCTAATAACACCATTTAATCCAAAGGCAACAGCATTAACAGCAATGCAGATGACCGTAACGACAATAATTGTGACAGCTGGTGTATCCTTTTGTGCTAAACTGCCAGCATCTGCAATATTTCAATGTTTTCATAAGTGTAAGTGAATTTATTTTCCCTGATTTAAATAGATGTAGCTTTACTAAATTGGAAAGATCTGTATTGATTTAAACAAAAATATGGGAACCAATTTCAATATAACGATTAGATAGTGTAGCACTTCAGTTTTAAAATAATCAAGATATGCAGTAGAATAAATGAAAATGGAAAAAAAATAACATAAAGATTGTTCGTACCTAAAATATCAGGACATGACAATGAGCAAGATCCAGTATTGATGCTGCAACAACGACACTCATCCAGGCATGTGTTTTGACAAAGTGATCCCCATCGACCTGGCGGACATGCACTGCAAAAACCAGTGTCTCTGTAGCATTGAAGACATTGATCAGACTTACATGTAGACTGACAGTCTTCACCCCAAAATCCAGGTTGACACAAAGTACAGAACCCATTCGTAATAGAGCACTGTTCACATTTTGAGTTGTTGCACATGTATGAACAATCCTGACCCCAATATCTGTTTCCACAAATTAAGCAATGGCCAGTTTGTCTGTGACAACCCCAAGAACAATTTTTGCTGCATATATTTTCACAAAACTTTCCCCATCTATTCAACTTGCAATTCTTACATTCGCCGGACGCAATATAGCATTCAGAAGAGGAACACGACTGATTACATTCTTTTTCGCATGATAGACCCCACAATCCAGGATTGCATGCAATGCATAAACCAGTTTCTTTGTTACAGGTTGAACAATCTTGGCTGCATGTCTTGTTACAAATGGCTCCCCAATATCTGCGTTTGCAATTACTGCAATATCCATCACTTTTTCTACACGTTGAATAGGAACAACCTTGACCGCAAGTGTTATGACAAAAATCGCCCCAAAGCCCATTCCTGCATCTGATACACTTTCCATCGTTCCTATTACAGTCCAAGGACGAACAATTATGACTAGATGTTTCATTACAAAATAAACCACAAAGCCCAGAGTTGCAAGTACTACATTGACCATTTGATCTAATACAGCTTGAAGAGGAACAGTAATACATGCAGGTATTGTTACAATTATCTCCCCATAGTCCGGCAATGCAACTACTACACTTTCCATAACTTTTAGCACAATCTGATGAATAACCTCTGCTGCATGTTTGGTTACAAATGTCTCCCCAGTATCCGCTTTTACAGGAACTACAATATCCATCACTTTTTCTACACGTTGAATAAGAACAACCTTGACCGCAAGTATTCTGACAAAATTCGCCCCAAAGTCCATTCTTGCATCTGCTACACTTTCCGTCGTTCCTATTACAGTCCGAAGACGAACAACCATGGCTACAGGTTTCATTACACAATAAGCTCCAAAGTCCAGTATTGCAAGTACTACACTGTCCGTTTGATCTAATACAACTTGATGAGGAACAATTATTGTACATGCATGTTTTGTTACAATTATCTCCCCAGAGACCGGAAGTGCAGCTGCTACAATTTCCATTGCTTTTATTACAGCTTGATGAACAATTTTGACTGCATTTCTGTTCACAAAAGGTTCCCCAGTATCCAGACTGACATGCATAGCACCTATAATTTACACTACACGAGGACGATCTGCAATTATCAGCATTACAAAGGATTGAGCAGTTAAGTCCAGCAAATCCTGATTGACAGGATTTACATCGTCCATCAATTCTTCCACACTTATCTGACATACAGTTTCCACAAGTTTTCTGACAGTTTTCTCCCCAAAATCCTGCTTTACACGTCTGACATTCTCCTGATGTGATACTACACATTTCACAATTCGTCTCCGAACATGTTTCGTCACAAGAAATATTCCAGTATCCGTTTTTACATATCTCACACACACCTGTTAATTTGTCACACAATTTGCAGTTTGGACCGCATGTGTAGTTACAGTTTTCTCCCAACCAACCAACATTACATGTTGTACATACGCCGGTCGTCATACGGCATTTTTTGCAGTTTGTAATACACGTATTTTTGCACGTTGTACCATACAAACCATCAGGACAAGAGTAACAACTTCCAGCACGTTTATTGCATCCATAAGAGCTGCAGTTTCCCAGACACTTATTTTGACAATAGTCCCCCCAAAAGCCGTTTGTACAGTAACTACATACTCCAGTTGACTGATCACATTTATATCCACAGTTAACCTCACACTCTTCCTTACACTCAGTTCCCCAGTAACCATTTGGACATTCGCTGTCGACATTTTGAACTAAACGAAATTTTACAAGATCATCAGACAAATTCATAACAATTCTTGTAAGTACAAATCACATATCAAATTAACAACAACAGCAGCAGCAGCAACAGCAGCAGCAGCAGCAACAACAACAACAACAACAACAACATAATAATAAATATAATAATAATAATAATAATATTAATAATAATAATAATAATAATAATAATAATAATAATAGTAATCATAATAATAATTTTATTCAAAATTGATGAAGGGTTATGCGACTATGTACAAGCCTTGAAAAATTTTATGTGCAAAAAAATCATTGTCGTGTTTAATGCGAATCCATTTTGTTTATAAGATTTTTGCAAGATTTCTGGCGTGCTTTTCGCTATTTTCATGCGTATGAGTAAATGGGATCGTCGACATACTTGTAAGTGGCGGTTTTGTTAATGTTTGACACAATCTATAACTCGTAAAACAGCGTAAAATAATCTGTAGGAGTATGCATGGCAATACAGAACTTGTAATGTGTATGGGAAGGCATGGTTAAATAGAACTTAAGTACATGTATCTGAAATTTATGAATGTAGATAGTTTATAAAGTCTCGTTTAGATCAATTAAACAATTAAAATCCTTAAAGATCCTGTAAAACAATTATTTCATGGTTTTCAATCATATATGAAAGCCTAATATTGTCAAATAAAATAAAAAGATAACAAAAGGCGTTATAACGCGAATAAATGCGTAATTACGCGAATCAAAAGGCGTAATAACTCAAAAAAGGCGTTATAACGTGAATCAAAAGGCGTAATAACGCGAATAAAGGCGTTATAACGCGAAACAAAAGGCGTAATTGCGCAAATCAAAAGGCGTAGTAACGCGAATAAAGGCGTAATAACGCGAAACATTGGGCCTAATAACGCAAATCAAAAGGCGTTGTAACGCGAATAAAGGCGTAGTAACGCGAACCAAAAGGCGTGAAAACGCAAATTAAAACACATTATAATGCCAATTTAATACCATAATTATACTAATCAAATTGCCTAGTAACGTGAGGAAGGAAGACCAATATTGGTCTGAATTTATTGCTCAAGATATAAACTCGTATAGAATAATATAATATACATTTACAATAACTATCATTCCATTTGCGCAGTAATACTGCAAACTATTTGTCATAAACTAATGAAGACTCTTTGATATTTGTCAATATAAGGTGACTTGGAGACTTAAAGGTCCATTGGGCTGGACGTTAATACAGTTACTCTGAATTCACATGTATCAACAAAAGGCGTTATAACGCTAATTTAATACCATATAAATTCCACACAGTCGTCTAGTAATGTAAGAAAGGAAGAACAATGTTGATCTAAATGAATTGATCAATTCTGTACGGATACGTCCTAAGACCACAGTCTGATTTTTTTTAAATCTTTTATTAGGTAATGCTTTCCTCAGATTAGAGGTTAACTATCACCCAACTATAGATACTTTTCTACAAAGGCAAAGAAGGCACTGTCTCCTATAATTGTGACTTAAATGAAACACTATCCCCCATTTAAGCATACCTATCAATAATCACCCTTATGTGACTAACTTATACCTTACGTTTTTCCAAATCTTGTTTCCTATATAGCCTATTACCTATAGCTTAATAAGGAATGGCATTCACATAATTAGAAGATACTAGAGGTTATTAGGTAATCATACAGGATATATCTGAAGATATTGAACGGAAACCACTCTTACCTACCCTTTATTTAGTCAGACAAAGTAACCTCCCTTGAAACTTGCAAAGGGAAACCACTCTTACCTACCCTTTATTAAGTCACACAGAGTAACCTCCCTTGAAAGTTGCAAAGGGAAACCACTCTAACCTACCCTAATTAAGTCACATAGAGTAACCTCCCTTGAAAGTTGCAAAGGAAAACCCCTCTTACCTACCCATATTAAGTCAGACATAGTTATTTCCCTTGGACAATGCAAAGGGAAACCACTCTTACCTACCCTAATTAAGTCTGACAGAGTAACCTCCCTTGAAAGTTGATATTTAAATGAATATTGGATTTCATACCAAAATCTAAACCTACAATATGAACAACAAGATCTAAAAATAAAGCTGCGTTCAATGAAGCATCCCCATACGATCCAGCCACATAGGACCACCGACAGGGAGACCAGCGGGACCCCGTACAAAACCAGGACTTGGCGATATTTATCAAATTTAACAGAATAAAAGAAGCAATTTATTTTTTTAAATTTTAAACTTTATAAAACACACGTGTTTAACAAGGAAAATAATTGTGCAATGTTTAACCCCTTTTTTCATTTTAATAGAACTTTCAAATTCTCTTTATTTACAATATTGATAATAGATCGATATAATTTTTAAATCCATGTCCAAAATAATTATATTCGAAAAAACGGAATCCCTAAAGAACACTATAGCTGCAAATCTGAAAATGTCGCAGGTTTGGTTTAAGCCGACGGTATGTTGTTCTTGTTACAAGGACTTTTGGGGTGTGATTGTCCTAAAGATTTTACCTCTACGTCATGTTATAAAAGTGATGAAAAATGTGTCCTAACGGTGTGTATACAATTCAACCTGTAAATTGAATTGAAAAAAATGTCGTCAAACAACTGGGTAATGTCATGATGGTAACGGGGGTGAATTCATGTAAACTGAACTGACGGTTTAAAAATGTGGCCCATAAACAGGTGCGAATGATATATGTAAAAATAGATGAATCTTTCCTAAAAAGGTGATATGTATGGTGGCTGATTTGTGCCGTTCGTGTTTTCGCCCCGCGACCCCGCTCAGCGAAAAGTCGAATATTAACAAGTCAAAATGTCGAGGGCGCGGAGCGAAAACGGGTTAATAAGCGAGAGCGCGGGGCGAAGTTTATTAAATAAAACTTCGTCCCGCGGGGGCGCGGAGTTAGATTGAAGGAATAAAATAGCGGAGTCGCGGAATGAAAACACGCTAATAAGCGAGGGCGAGGGGCGAAGTTGAATAAATGTAACATCGCCGCACGCCCCCGCTAATTAGCGTGTTTTTGTCCCGCGACCCCGCCAAGCGAAAAGTCGCAAATTAACAAGTTAAAATGGCGGGGGCGCGGAGCGAAAACACGCTTATTAGCGTGTGCCCTATTAAGCGTGTTTTCGCTCCGCGCCCACGCCGTTTAATTTCTTAAATCTCGTCCCGCACCCACGCAGGGCGAAGTATTATTTATTAAATTTCGCCTCGCGCCCCCGATAATTAGCGTGTTTTCGTCCCGCGACCACGCCGTTTTACATGTAATTCTCCACTTTTCGCTTGGCGGGGTAGCGGGGTAGAAAACACGAATGACACAAATCAGCCACCATAGATCTGCCATAAATTGTAATATTTTTGTAGCAATTCATTCGGAGAATTTGCATCGTGTAAATCTAGATTTTAGAAGGACAACTGAAAGAAAATTGTAAAATAAAATCATATAAATTTGGTAAAAGCTATAAACGGTATGCATCATGTCAATATGTATCAACAACACGTGCAACCAAACATGTTCTGTGATAAGAAAAGAGATGAAGACTGTAATTGTGAATTGTGGGGAACAAGTGAATCAGTCGTGTTTCTATACGCAAAAACGAGACGGCGAAGTCAACAGATGTAACAAGTTTAGTAAAAATATGTGCACAAACATGCTGGATATTGCATAAGCTTTTGTAACAAATATTAAGATGATGGTTGTTCAACGACTCAATGTAGGAACAATGATCTTAACAAATCGGTTTGATGCCTTCTTTAAGGATTTCATGTTTGTCTGTTTTATATATGTTCCTGTTGCAGCATTAGTAGTGGTACATACTCGTTATCTTGTTCCGCTATTGCAGGTATTGCTTTTTAATGTTTATGGAAATCCTTTCAATACAAAAATATTGCAACAATGAATAATAAATGAAATTTTCCCAAGCACAGATAACTATAAAAAAATGACTTTCTGAAACATGTGATATGCACAAAGTTCAAATTATTAATAACTCCAACGCTGTTGAAGAAATGTTTTACATTTGTATTTATAAGCAACAATCCAATGAGATACTTTACGGAAATGCGTAGAAGTATTTATTTGTTTAAATTTATCATGATTTATATTTTGGCGTTACATTTTATCAACTAAAGTACACTTTAAATCAAATTTAGAAATTGTATGCTTTATCTACTTCCTTTATTATTTAGTATCATACAAATACTGTTTAAGAAGTACATGGCCTACTGTTTCAAAAGCATAACAAAAGGACATTTTCTGTCTTGTTTATCTTAAATATTCGTATGTACTAGTACACTTTGATTGACGCAAAGCATATATACGTTGTGTCTTTTTTCTTTGCTTTTTCAGTTCCAAATCGTGCTTTGATCTATATTTAAAGGTGTTAGCTTGCTATGAAAGCAAAACATTTATATCATCATTAAAACATCTATATAATTTATCTTAATACAATAACACGAAAAATAAACCGCACTACACAATAATTATAGATTTCATCAAACAGAAACAAAATGTATAAGTTAATTTGTACATTTTCCGGAGTTTGTTTATTTAGATAGCATTCATAATTTCCATAAACGGGTTTGGGCGTTGTTCGAATGTCGTTTATATACGACTGCTATATCAGTATTTACTACGGTACAAAGGTATTTTTAATTATTTTCATTGATAAAGGGGAGATTGTGCTGTTTCTGTATTGACTGTTTTCGTTTTTTAACTAGTATGCTGTTATGTGTTCAGTCTCTCAATTCGCAGACTTAATTCTGAAACAGGTGCATAAAAATACGTCTCTGTTTATCCATGGAAGATTTATAACCATAAACATATTATATAGTTTAAGCTGCACAATTATTTAAACCTAAGTAAACAAACATAATTATATATTGGCTAGAATTTAGAGATTAATCAACGTTTTACAATACTACATTCGTAATTGTATTCCTGTGTAACCTATAAACGACAATCACACATGTTAAAATGAGGTTGTTTAATCAACTTAATCTACATAATGTATGTACAATTTTGTCAATTTTGTAATACTTGATGAATTCACAACAAAAGAGGGTATATTGTATATCGCGGAAGATAAAAACTGAAAAAACAACACAGGATATACAATACAGAAGAGGAAGTTATAAAAATTAAAAGATTTGGGCAGCGGCAGACGCAACAATGAAGATGCAAGTCCATAATGTGTTCTTATTTTTGATTTTATACATTTGCGGTGAGTTAAAATTTATTACAAAATGTTGTAACTTCATTATAAAGAGAATGTAGCAATAATTGTTTTCAAGTAATTATTTTATAAGGTTTGTTGCATGAAAAAAGTATGTGTCGTCTGTCCAAAAAAAGGAGTCGTATGTAACAGCATTGCTATAGTTTAATGCATGTACTAGTAAATGATCAACATGTCGGATTCAGTGATATTTTATGTTATGTTATGCTATCAAGGCCATATGGCTTTTCCATCATTATTGGCTAAAAAGAAAAAAAATCAAATGCTGCTTCGTGTATTATTTCGTGCATTATTTAAATGTGCATCTGAGTACATAGATATACAGATTTAAATTAAGCAAAGAAAACTGATAAGTTTTCTCAAGTGAAATAAATATCAAAGTCCTGATCCATCGATGCATTTTGTAATAATTTAAGGTATCCTCTTAATGTTATTCTTAAAAGATAAAATAATACCAAAGCGTTTTAGTTATGATACTAAATTACATTTTGTGCCCTTTTTTCTATCCTTCATCCTTGGGTTTTACACACTATTACTTATTGTGTATCCGTCTATAATAAATTTGTTGACACTTGACATGTCTTAGGTATTCATAGAAACTTTTTCTTGATGTGTATACTGAAACCATATGATTTACCCATTGCTGGCTAATGTTTTAAGCAAGAACTAAGGTAAAATAGGGGCCATTTGAATTCATCTGTAATGGAATATGGGTAGTTTAGATACAAATCGCGGGTGTCCGTGACCGAGATGTGCAGGTATTTGACTATAATCAATTTTTCTCTCGCTGTTGGAACTTTGGATTATTTCACGTGAAGAAACAATCCATCTAAGTGCCCCATTGTAAAATTGGTAAAATAACATGAAAGATCCTGTATGATCTGATCAAGTGGGTTACCACACTAAGTGAAATTATATATGTATATAATTATGCATTATACATAACTATGCAAATAAAACAATTTTCAAACATCGAAGAATATGTGAAATATTTACTGCAAAAATTTGCGCAAATATGTACTGCATTATATTAGTCTAATCAAAATAAATAAAAAGGTTAAACTATAAGCAACAGAAACAAATAGTACGCTCCACGAAAGAACATGTATAGATAAGAATTAATAAAAAAATCGCATGCTCAGCGTTTTACCGTTTTGAAATTATTGACTTTTAAAAATAGCATTTAAAAAAAAAATTCTAATGGCCACAACCGTACACCGTACGCCGTTTTTGTTATCTCCCTTTGATACTCTCCAAGCAGAAGTTCGCACGCGCGAGGAATTCGAAAGTGTAAACAGTCGCCGTTTTCACAGATTTTTTGTCTTTGGAGACAGAAAGAGGTAACTTATTGATGGTTTTGAAAAGATAATACAATGCAGAACATGCATTTCATATAATCTTCTTTTAAATTATTTTTTTTCCCCAAACATTTAGAACTCAAAGCATGTTGATGACCTTGGTAATGTCTCACGGGGATTGAGGCAGATATTTAAGATTTCTGGTGTATGTTTATCTCTGTTATGCTTATATTAACTTTGTTTTTTTGTACAAACTAAGAATAATCACGAAAAAAGCGATTTTTTGGCAAAAAATATTGTTCCGGATAAGCAAACGCTTGCTTTTTTTTAACTACGGAAGCGGATACGGACCAAAAGTACGTTTAAATAAATAAAATTATAACACATTTTTTTCGCATTTCATAGTGAAAGTTTGCATTTTTCAGTAAACTTCATCAACATTTTCAACAATTGACTAAACTTGCTGCAGTTTTTTTCGCATTTTAGCGTAAACAACAAAATTGAATAGAGCTCTATACATTTTTAAACTTTATTTTACAGATATACCGTAACATTGACTAAAACTCGGTAGTGCTGCCTTCTGTTCTGAAAAGATGTCGATACGCAAGAATCACATATAAATGGAATATAATGACTAGTACGTAGATATATTATTTAACTCTATGTGTCGACTGTCGAATATAAAATTTAGTTTATTCATACGCTTCATTTCACTATAGTTACAAACATATACCTTTTAAATAACATATATAGTAACACTGTAATTATTACAAATTATGTCAAATATGATCAAAAAGTGTACATAATTTAATAACAATATTTTAATTCTTTTACAGGCATTTTACCAATTTTACAATGGGGCACTTAGATGGATTGTTTCTTCACGTGAAATAATCCAAAGTTCCAACAGCGAGAGAAAAATTGATTATAGTCAAATACCTGCACATCTCGGTCACGGACACCCGCGATTTGTATCTAAACTACCCATATTCCATTACAGATGAATTCAAATGGCCCCTATTTTACCTTAGTTCTTGCTTAAAACATTAGCCAGCAATGGGTAAATCATATGGTTTCAGTATACACATCAAGAAAAAGTTTCTATGAATACCTAAGACATGTCAAGTGTCAACAAATTTATTATAGACGGATACACAATAAGTAATAGTGTGTAAAACCCAAGGATGAAGGATAGAAAAAAGGGCACAAAATGTAATTTAGTATCATAACTAAAACGCTTTGGTATTATTTTATCTTTTAAGAATAACATTAAGAGGATACCTTAAATTATTACAAAATGCATCGATGGATCAGGACTTTGATATTTATTTCACTTGAGAAAACTTATCAGTTTTCTTTGCTTAATTTAAATCTGTATATCTATGTACTCAGATGCACATTTAAATAATGCACGAAATAATACACGAAGCAGCATTTGATTTTTTTTCTTTTAGCCAATAATGATGGAAAAGCCATATGGCCTTGATAGCATAACATAACATAAAATATCACTGAATCCGACATGTTGATCATTTACTAGTACATGCATTAAACTATAGCAATGCTGTTACATACGACTCCTTTTTTTGGACAGACGACACATACTTTTTTTCATGCAACAAACCTTATAAAATAATTACTTGAAAACAATTATTGCTACATTCTCTTTATAATGAAGTTACAACATTTTGTAATAAATTTTAACTCACCGCAAATGTATAAAATCAAAAATAAGAACACATTATGGACTTGCATCTTCATTGTTGCGGTCTGCCGCTGCCCAAATCTTTTAATTTTTATAACTTCCTCTTCTGTATTGTATATCCTGTGATGTTTTTTCAGTTTTTATCTTCCGCGATATACAAATATTACCCTCTTTTGTTGTGAATTCATCAAGTATTACAAAATTGACAAAATTGTACATACATTATGTAGATTAAGTTGATTAAACAACCTCATTTTAACATGTGTGATTGTCGTTTATAGGTTACACAGGAAATACAATTACGAATGTAGTATTGTAAAACGTTGATTAATCTCTAAATTCTAGCCAATATATAATTATGTTTGTTTACTTAGGTTTAAATAATTGTGCAGCTTAAACTATATAATATGTTTATGTTATAAATCTTCCATGGATAAACAGAGACGTATTTTTATTGCACCTGTTTCAGAATTAAGTCTGCGAATTGAGAGACTGAACACATAACAGCATACTAGTTAAAAAAAACGAAAACAGTCAATACAGAAACAAGCACAATCTCCCCTTTATCAATGAAAATAATTAAAAATACCTTTGTACCGTAGTAAATACTGATATAGCAGTCGTATATAAACGACATTCGAACAACGCCCAAACCCGTTTATGGAAATTATGAATGCTATCTAAATAAACAAACTCCGGAAAATGTACAAATTAAACTTATACATTTTGTTTCTGTTTGATGAAATCTATAATTATTGTGTAGTGCGGTTATTTTCCGTGTTATTGTATTAAGATAAATTATATAGATGTTTTAATGATGATATAAATGTTTTGCTTTCATAGCAAGCTAACACCTTTAAATATAGATCAAAGCACGATTTGGAACTGAAAAGCAAAGAAAAAAGACACAACGTATATAATGCTTTTTTGCGTCAATCAAAGTGTACTAGTACATACGAAATTTAAGATAAACAAGACAGAAAATGTCCTTTGTTATGCTTTTTGAAACAGTAGGCCATGTACTTTTTAAACAGTATTTGTATGATACTAAATAATAAAGGAAGTAGATTAAAGCATACAATTTCTAAATTTGATTTTAAAGTGTACTTTAGTTGATAAAATGTAACGCCAAAATATAAATCATGAATAAATTTAAACAAATAAATTACTTCTACGCATTTCCGTAAAGTATCTCATTGGATTTGTTGCTTATAAATACAAATGTAAAACATTTCTTCAACAGCGTTGGAGTTATTAATAATTTGAACTTTGTGCATATCACATGTTTCAGAAAGTCATTTTTTTATAGTTATCTGTGCTTTGGGAAAATTTGCATTATTATTCATTGTTGCAATATTTTTGTATTGAAAGGATTTCCATAAACATTAAAAAGCAATACCTGCAATAGCGGAACAAGATAACGAGTATGTACCACTACTAATGCTGCAACAGGAACATATATAAAACAGACAAACATGAAAATCCTTAAAGAAGGCATCAAACCGATTTGTTTAAGATCATTGTTCCTACATTGAGTCGGTTGAACAACCATCATCTTAATATTTGTTACAAAAGCTTATGCAATATCCAGCATGTTT